GGAAATGAAGGTAGTTTTTGCATGTTCTTGATGGCGTTGCTCGCGGTTTGGTAGCTTGTCTCGGGATGTTGGCATTGTTGGTTGGCATTGCAAGGGTATCCTCGATGGACTTTTGCATAGTGGTATGGGAGTGCTAGGTTGACATATGTCCTTGGCCAGGGTCAAATCCACGATGTTATTGACGATGAGCTTCCTCGTGTCTTGTATCTTGACATGCTTGTGAAAGCTTGTGATGGGACTGAGGGCAACCACCGCATCAGAACTTTCTGAAGAAGCGAGACGTGTCATTCCAGCTCTTCAATTCACCACTCCAAACCACGTCCACGATTAGTTGTGGTGCCTCAACCTCCTCGGTATGAGGAAGCCACGCAATCCACGGACGCCGAACGGCGCATTCGTCCCGTCTCGTCAAAACTTTGATCCTGCAGGAACATGATCCTACGCCCCAAGGTGGATGCGCCCGCATATATGACCAATCAAACGAGGAAGCGAGCAGTTAGATTGCAGCATGGATTCACGCCTGCGGCTAATCTACCACCGGCATCAGGCGCCCAACGCCCTGCTTTCAAATCCGCGTGTTAGCAGTCGCGCACATAGGCACATGAATCTCTATAAATGTCTTTTTCCGTATTGTGCTTCTTGTTCCAGTTTCTAATATGACGAGCCTGAATAACGGAAAGAAAGGCGAAACACCTTATTACCCCGTCTTGATCATCGGGGCGGGAGCAACAGGTATTGCTGCTGGAAGTCAACTGAAGCAAAAGCTCGGATTGAGAGAATTCAAGATTGTTGATCGCCAGTCTGGTATTGGAGGTAGGTTTGAAAAAAGCGGTGTCATGACCACATTGATTGACGGTCGGTGATAGGAACCTGGTGGATCAACCGGTACCCAGGAGTAGTAAGTCTTATCGTGCAGGACAATTGAAACAACACTGACTGTAACGAAGCAATGCGATGTGTAAGCGATATTGTGAGGGCTTTTAACGACAGTTATTGAACATCACAAGGCCTACTTCCTTATACTCTTTCTCCTTCGCACCAAACTACGTCTCGAAACGCTTGTATCCCACCGGCGAAGAATTCCGCGAGTATCTCAACGAGATTTCGGAAAAGTATCAACTGGCCTCTCACATCCAGCTGAACACCGACGTAAAAGAACTCCGTTGGATTGAGGCCGACGCGCAATGGGAAGTAACACTCCAGCACCTGGTTCCTGGTACCGGCGATCTTAGCACCCGAGATCGAGAAGACAGAGCAACTGCTTCCGGTCGCGAGTCCGTATACCTGCATGAAGAAGTCGTGCGCGCCAAAGCAGTGATAAGTTGTGTGGGAATCCTTGTAGAGCCGAATCCATGGCCATCTTCCGTTCAAGGGCGCGGTACCTTCAAAGGCGACGTCTTCCACTCCGCGCGATGGCGCGATGACATTGATCTCAACGGGAAAGACGTAGTAATACTCGGAACCGGCTGCAGCGCCGCGCAGATAGTGCCGTCACTGCTCAAGGAGCCCTTCAAAGTCAAGTCACTCACTCAAATCGGCCGGTCAGCACCCTGGGTAATGCCACGGCTTTCTGAGCCTTTCGGAAAAGAAAATTACGCCAGGTACGCACCCACAGTCTACAAGTGGCTTCCATTCCTCGGGTATGTAAACCGCGTCCTGATATATCTGTTGGTGGAAGTCATCTGGTCAACCGTGTTCCAAATGAAACACAAGAAATGGCGTGCTGCGATCGAGAAACAACAGTTGGCTATGATGAAGGAGATCGTGCCGGAAAAGTACCATGATATCATGACGCCAGACTATCCGTATGGATGTAAGAGACGCGTCTTCGATACTGAGTGGTTGCCCAGCATGCAGAATTCCAAGTTCACGCTTACCAATCGTCCTATTCAAGCTGTGAATGGCAAAGAGCTCGTTCTGGGTGCCGATGGGAATGCTGCATCCGCTGAGCAGCGCATCAATGCTGATGTCATCATCCTCGCCAACGGCTTCGAGGCGACCCGCTGGTTGCACCCACTTTCAGTCTACGGTCGCGACGGAGCAGCCTTGCAAGAAGTATGGAAACAGCGTGGAGGCCCGGCTGCATATATGGGCATGGCCGTTGATGGGTTCCCGAATTTCTTCATCGCTGTTGGACCGAACACGGCGAATGGCCATCACTCACTCATACTCACGAGTGAAAATACGGTCTCGTATATTCTGAAGATGATCAAACCCATCCTCGGCGGCAAGGTAGACCATATCGAGGTGAAGAAACAGGCCGTGATGGCATGGACTGAGGGTGTGAAGAAAGATCTGGAAAAGACCGTCTTTGTGGGTTGTCGGAGTTGGTACATGGATGAGGAGGGTTATAATTCGACCATGTATCCGTAAGTCTTCCATCTCCGGACCAATCGTTGCCAATAGATGCGCGGTACTGATATGATCTGTAGTCGCTCGCAAACAGATTTTACGTTGAAGTGTATGTTCCCGACGTACGGGAATTGGGACGCTTTCACGTCTTCGGGGTCTAAAGTCTCGCTTCAACAAGGCAGTTTTACTGCGCTGGGCGCGTCTGCTGTGGCTGTCGCGGTGGGCCTGTGGTATGGTGTCGCGAGGTACTTGTGATATGTCGCATACTAGAGCTCCTTCCGATATATGCACTGTCGCACAAACGAGCTGTTTACCCCTCTTGAGCGCGCTCAGCGGTGACTTAGTCAACTCTTGTTATCTTTGAGCAAATGCATCGTGGGTCGCCAGGTCGTCAGCACTAGCGCTGTGATGTGCCCACGTTGCTACAGCGGCTCTCGGGGTTCTTGCAGCAGGAATGCATTCTGCTTGATTGTTTATCCCATAGCACTTACCTGTCGTCCCAGTTCTGTTGTGGTGTTGCCGAGGGTGGGTCGCGCCTTCCCACAAACGCGGAATCACGCGACTTCGCGTGACAGGAAACCGCGATGGACCTCAACCCGTGGACACGCGCTTCAACGCTCAGCGCAGCTAATTCATCCTTCCTCAAGTCTCTGTTTGATTGCATCTCTGCATGCCCATTAAATTGCGCGACACCGACCTGCATTGTCAGCACTAATGCCGTCGCAATGACCCCACCCTTCTCCTCATTGCCGTTTCTTGTGAGAGCAAGTTTGTGACATCTCACCCATCTAGCATCCGCATCTCGACACACCCCAATTATGCTGTCCAACTACATCATCCAACTCCATGCCGACACTTGTTCATGTATTACGATAGCTGACCGGGGAGGTGCCAGCGGTGCGAGGCGGAAGAGCCCGGAGGTTGAATGCGGAGCCATACAGAGGTTGTGGCGTTTGTCTCGAAGATGGAGGGATAGGCGTGGATGTAGGTCTCGCCTTCCGTACGACATGGGCGGATTTTCGCGTGTGATTCGGACACCACATCGCATGTCGCGACCTCGATGCGGTGGTGGTGCTGCCCAGATGGTGACATTTCCACTGCTTCAGTAGCGTGAACGAGCGCGCCTCATGGATAAGCGGTATGCCGATAGCGCCGCCTCGTTCGATGGCCTCATGCTGCTCGTCCAGTCCAGGTATTCCATCGCCCGACGCAGAGGGCTTGAGTCGCAAGCGTAGTTGCGTTCGCGAGGTTGGTGGGTCATGAGTAATTGCAAGGGTGCAATTCGGCAAGAGAAGGTTTCGCTAGAGGATCGCCTTCTTGGACTATCCTTATAGGGATTCCCACTTTCGGGTCTCCGACATGCATGTCCGCAACACCATCAGCGCTATCGCATCGTCAAACAGGAAACCGACTACTGGGCCTGAGATAATTGGTTGTGGAGTTCAGGTTGTATCTCTAACAGCTGACAGGGCACGACAAAGACCCTGCGCGAGAGCTACGGCGCGCCCTTTCCTCCCCGAAGCTCAGGATTGCAAACACGAACGGATCTCAGTCTCCACCTTACCCAATCAATTGGCAACGTCGAAAGAGCTCTATCGACCTCTTTTCACAAAGACTTATTGCCACCCGGCAGTATTTAGTTACAAGCTTACCTGCCGAAGGCGAAGCGAACATGCGCGACACGTGCTAGCCGCACCGATGCCAGGAACCTCAAGTCGCTAACGTTAGCCCATTATCAACCACTTCGCGACTCTATACTTCATATGGTCAGGCCCAAGCCCTGCCCTGCGCCTCAAACGCAGGGCGTCCATGGCCCAAACCGCGGGGCCGTGTTGATCATCGTTTATCGGCACTGCAGTTCCTCCACGTTCACTAGTCTGAAGCTGTCTTGAAACAATAAACAACACCCCCACATCTTTCTTTAGAACTCCCTCGTTTCGCCAGAAAGGGGTATCACCTTCCAAACTAACGGTCCGTTTACTAATGCGACACCAGAAAGCGTTCATCGGAGGGTTAGGCTCTGCAAAGCAGTATCGATGTTGTTCAGCACAATGCAGTACCGGCAGCATTGCATGCATCTCACCACTCTGAAGCTGCTGCGAGTGAGATCCACTACATGAGTGCCACGCATAGTTGGCGAATTATGGCACGATGATTAACGACCATGAGCAGATGCACCACATCTCGTGAGGTGAATGACCGGGAACCACATCGTAAGCTTGAGCATAACTGGCATGTTCGCTAAAACATGTCACGCTTCAAGCAGGAGCTTTCCACCGGTCACATAGTGGCGTATATCCGTACTCCCAAAACAGTAGCGGTGGGTCTTCCTCACCATTGCTCTAGTGGCCTGTCACATCTATTCCAGCACCTCTCCTCAACGCTTACCCATGGGAATCAGGGTCAGAGGAGACAGCTACTCATACAGTGCTAGATGTAAGCATGAGTCGCGGCTGCTATTCTTGCCGCTTCTTAGAAACATGTTACAGTGTATAAGAAGAAATGTTCATCGCTCTCTTCTTACCATTATCATCTCAGTCATCACAGTCATTCGCTCTTCGCTTCTCGGCACTTCTCATCTATCCTATCTTATTCTTCATCCTACTAGACACTCACTCGATAGGGCCATTATCTTCTCTTCACACATAATGTATATTCGCAACGTCCTTATCTCTGGCCTTGCGGCTGCCAGCACAGCCCAGGCCTACGCCAACCATACAATTCGGGAAGAAGACTGGACCGTCCCAGCACCAGTACAGGAGAAGCGTACTATTGCAAAGATCTTCGGCATATTCGACGGCATTTTCGGTGGCGGCGGCGGCAAGGAACCTGCGCAAGAATGCCCTGCTGTTTGGACTCAAATCTCTTCCACCCTCACCCAACAATTCCTCGGGGACGGCCAATGCACAGATGCTGCGCGCGCTGCTATCCGATCTTCATTCCACGACTGCTTCAACGGCGCATGCGACGGTTCTCTCATCCTCGCCAACGAGTGCTCGAACAAAGAGAACCGCGGCATGGAGCGCCTTTGCGGTAACCTTGCCAATGTCGCCTCCCAAACCAAGGTCGGTGTTGCCGATCTGATCCAATTTGCCGCCGCACATGCAGTCAAGACATGTCCTGGAGGACCCACTATTCCCGTCAAGGTTGGCCGCAAGGACTCCAGCGAGGCGAATGCTCTCGGCGTTCTACCTAGCGGTCACGCCAATGCAAAGGACTTGGTCGGACTCTTTGGTAAGCATTCATCTCTAGTCTTCAACATGTTCATAGCTAACAGCTTTTCCAGCGCAAAAAGGCTTCTCCCCCTACGACCTCGCCGCTCTCATCGGCGCCCACACCGCCGCCAAACAACGCTTCACCGACCCTTCAAAAGCCGGCTCTGCCCTCGACTCCACTGTCGGCACCTGGGACAACAAATACTACTCCGAGACCATGCGTGGCAGGGCTCCTTTCACACTCCCCTCCGACAAGAGCCTTGCACAGAACCCCCTGACTGCCGGCCCATTCATCGCCTTTGCCGCCAGCAAGGGTATGTGGGACTCAGCATTCGTAAGCGCAATGGTCAAGATGAGCATGCTTGGTGTTGAGAACAAGGGAGACCTGATCGACTGCACAAGTGCGCTGCCCGGTGGTAGCAAGAAGAGGGATGTCAGGAGCCGCAACCTCTTCGACCGCCTCAAGTGGTAGACGGTGTGGGTAATTTGTACGATGTGAGCATTTTCGGGCGTTACGATACCTTTTCATTATCTCCTTATGGGCACTTCACGACTCTCTTTGATGGTACATGCTAGTCATGTTTTCTTATATATACCATGTTCTAGCAAAAGGATAGGCGGCGGGTAGTATGACACAGTAGTACGATGTCATTAGTAATTCAAACACTTCACGAATACCCATCATGTCCTCATACTCTGAAGAAACTGAAAATGACCTTCTGCAGAATGCACCACTGATACAAAGTGCGCGAATCAGAATAACGATGTTGATGTAGGCGTCTCGGTTCTCTGACAGCATCCACAGTATTCTTCTGGTTTTGGCTGTACTCAGTAATGCGTCCTACTACAATCATATAACGATGCAGTAAAACCATGAATCCATCATCTACATATCTGTTCTTTCGTCTATTTTCGATGTCATTGTCAGCCAGAGCGGCCTAAGCTACCTCCTTCGACGTGAAATCGAACACGGTACCCTGGGACAAGCCTTGCTTCTTGATGCAGGCCTCAAGCATTAGAATGGGCTGTTCGGTAATGACAACGGTACGAACACGACAATTTACGCTTCCTTCTTTCGCAGCTACCATATTTCTCTTGTGGGTTCTTGTAGTCAGAATCTTCTCGACTGCATTTTGCGACGTCTTGAGCTTCTCTTCATGACGTCCGGAGCGCTGGAACGAAAGTGGTTCTCGTTTGGCTGGCAGGGGTCGGTCGTAAGCCATGGCGGTGGCAATATCCGGTGACGGCTTAGTGGATCGAGCAACGTCAAAGTCAATGTTGTTGTATCTAATAGCGAGAGCCGGTGAGCAGGAGGCGATACAGTCCGTGCGGGCAATGATGAGAAATGAAACCCAAGGCTCGACCAGGCTAGCGCGTCTGCCTGCGTTTGCACCCTCCTCACACTACTCAAAGAAGCGGCGGCGTGTCGACATACTAACATCCTCCATAATAAACAGGACGGAGCGGTCCACCGCAAGAGACGGAACATGGCTTACCAGGACGACCGATAATACCCATATCCATCCCACGCTCCCATGCAGGCAAATCACATAATCAGAGACGAAGAAACAAAGATGACGACATAATTCCTATAACCCCCATCGTACCTTCCCCAGGATATCTAACCTTCCTTCCCCATCCACCCACCCATACCGAGCCATCCATCCCATCATCCAAACATACCTATCCGTCACCTTCCCTACAGTAACAATAACAAACAAAAAACGACGCCAGCGAACATCACAAGGACGCAAGCGATGCATTAGTAGGTCCCTCCAGATGTATTACAATACAAAACAAGGAAACAGCAGAGAGCCATGTGTAAAAGTTAAAAGGCTTATAGTTTGCTCAAGCGAGAAAATGACAAAATAAAGTAAAAAACAAGGCGATCGGGTATCGAAGTCGAAAATGGGGCTATCGCGAAAATTATTTTCCCAACTGGCTTCCTTCCCTTCCCTTCAAAATGTATGGCTTCCCTTGCTACAACAACGATGGTAGTGCATGCAGCGCCCCCAATACGTGACAACGTGGCGGTATTAACGTAGCTCTCTCAGCCTTCCTCCGGCGGTGGCGTGGGTAGATCTCTCCCCTTTGATTCCGGACTCGGTGGGTGGACGACTGTGACTGGCGTCGTGGGATCTCTAGATTCGTCGCCTTCTTGGTCGGCGGCGCCATCACCGTCGATGATACTTTCACCCTCTTCAGGTATAGCAGTCGGGCTCAAGATGCCTCCGTCTTCGCTTTTGGCTGAAGCTTGATTGCGTCGATTTCTCCTTCGTTGTCTTTCCGTGTCGGCACTCTCTCTTCTCCGCCTGACAGATAATGATCCATCTTTGTTCAGGCCAGTTCCAGACTGGAGACCTTCCAGCATGGCGGCAGCGCGGTCTGCAATGTCTGCTTCGGCGGTACCGGCAGCGGCGGCGGCTGCAGGACCAGCGGTGCTACTAGCCTCACTATCCGCAGTCTCGCTCGTGGGACTGAGTAGCTTGTTCTTCTCATCATCGCCCTCGGCACCCTCTGCGCCTTCTTCCATGTTGACGCCGATCTCTGGGATTTTCTGGCCACTAGCCACGCGTACCTGGTGCCTGTCCTTTAAGCGGGCGCGACGACGGCGATCGCGTTGGTCTCTTGCTTCGGGCTTAGCAGCACGTAGCTTCTGCAGCAAGTCGTCCATAGCACCGGTGGATGCGGGTGATTTGGGAGCATCGGAGTCTGAAGAGAGGGCGTTGGGAGAAAGAGGGTTTGCGGTTTGCGCTTGTTTGCGACGCATGGAAATCTCGTTGCGACGATGTTGCTCTTCGAGTGCGGTGTTCTTCTCCTTGGATTTCTACAAACAAGTTAGCAATTAATCCATAGCAACGTATAACCAAGCCGGGCAAAGCCAGCATCGTGATCATAAGAACAGGGGGTTGGTGATGACTTACCTTCCATTCCTGGACGAAGTTGGCCAACTTCGCAAAGAAATCCCTCCTCGCACTGTCGTCGGTCGGATCTTCACCATAGAACGCCATAATGTCATCGTAGCTCTTCTGCATGTCCTCAAGGAAGACCTGCATCTGCTCTGCCTTTCTCCTAGCCTCCTTCATGTTCCTCTGCACAACAATGGCGACCTTGTCTTCTGGGTGGAACTTCGTCGGATCAGACAAGTTACCAGAGTCTAGCGACATCTGGACGTTCTTGATGTTGTCGATGTACTTCTTAGCATCGGTCTGAAGTTGCTCAACGTTGATCTTCTGCGCTGTCACAACGCCGCTAATCTCGTCGGTGAAACCTTCCCATCCAGAGTACTGGTTACGAACGATTCTTTCGACGACGTCGGCGAATGTGGACTCGTTCTTGTCATCCTTGAGCATGCCAAGTCGTCCTAGAGTAGAGAGCTTGAATCCACTGGCTTGCTTGTTGGCATCGTTCATGAAGTTACCAATGTCGAGAATGAGACCCAAAACACTGATCAAACTTGACGAGTCACGCAGACTCTCAGACACCCTTGAGATCTCCAGCAGCTTGTTGGAAATCTCGTCGTACTCAGTTTCGTACGTGCGAGTCAACGCAAGCGCCCTCATCCTGCTCTTCCAGTAGTGATGTAGTTCGTAGGCAGTGAGAAGGTAGATCTGGTCCTCTCTTGTGAGCTCGTTCGGGTCCTGTTCACGCTTGCTCTCGCTAGCATTGGGTCCAGTCCAGTCCTTCGAGTAGGGTGCCATGAGCTTGGCGGTGTTGTCGGGAATATCGCAGAAGTCGTTCTTCTGCAAGAACTCCATAGTGACAGGATCATCCAAGATCTTGTTGTCGCAGTGGATGATCATCCTTACGATATCCTCAACTCCGTACGATGAGAACTTGGCCATACTGATCTGGAAGTTGTGCATGAGGTCGCGAGAGATGATCTGCTTCTTGTCGTCCTTCTTGCCAGATTTCTTGCCAATCGCCTTGATTTCCTTTGCCAAAAAGAGCTTCTCAACTTCCTCCAAAACACCCTTCCTTGCCAGCTCTTGGTACTTCTCTTCTTTCTCTTCCGAGCTGAGACCGCGAGTAGCCCAGACAGTGGTAGTAGGTTGGTCGACCTTGTCCCAATGCAGGGCCTTGAGCTTCTTCTTTGGTCGTGGTCCAGAAAGAGCAAATTGTTGGGCAGCGCCAAATCCAGGCGCCTTGGGCATGAATCCAGGACGTTTGGCACCGGGCATTGGCGGTGGCGGTGGTGGAGGAGGTGGCATGCTACCATCTCCAGGCATAGGAGGAGGTGCAGGGATTCCGGGCTTGAAGCCAAGTTTGCCTGGCGGAGGCGGCGGTGGAGGGGGAGGGGGAGGTCCAGCAGTACCGGGCATAGGAGGCGGAGGAGGAATGTTGTTCGAGAATCCAAGCGCACCAGGAGGCGGGGGTGGAGGTGGAGGGATGTTGGCTTTGGGTGCCTCATTATCGCCAGGTGTCTTTGGTGAGTCGGATTCGAGGCTGGGATGCGATGGTCCTGTAGTAACGCCATCCCCTTCAGCATCAGAGTCTTCGTATCGCTTGACGTTCGCCGTGATATCCGCCATGAGGGCATTGGCTGTCGAAGTGCTGAGCTTTGGCTTGTGCATCTGGATCAGACGGGGCTTCTCAATGACAGCGTCATCATCGTCCATCTCCGACATCTCAGCATCCTCACCAATCTGGCCAGGAAGGCCAGGGAGGGGCTTCCTGCGGGGCACTCCACTTTTGGCACGAACTGATCCGAACGAGCTGGCTTCGAGGCCACCATAGCCCTGTTCGGTCATGCCAGGCATGTCACCCTCCATCTTTTCTCGCAGTTCCCTAAGCTTTTCGCTGGGCTGCATCTGCAGGGACTTGCCCTCCAGTGTTGCTTGTGTCCTGGCTCGTTGCAGTTGGATCTCCAGTCTGTTCATCAGACGTTCGCGGTCCATGATACCCTGCATTTGAGCTGGATCAGTGGTAGCGAGCCCGTCTTTACCAGACTTCTTCGCTGCCGACGCTGCGACATCTTGAGCATCCCTAAGCATCAAGTACAGTTCTCGCGTCTCCAGTTCGTTGCGTTGCAGTTCTTGTGCTCGTATTCTCTGCATTTCCGCTAGTTCGGCCTTCATCGTCTCTACTTGCCTACCACGGAGCTCGATGATACGTTCTTGTTCCGCGAGTTGTTTCTGCAGCTTAGAGACCAGGCCATCTGCACCCAGCTCCAGCTGCGCTTTCATCTCATCGCGTTCTGCAATAGCCGAGTCTGCGATTTGGCGTGCTTCGACTGCTTCATCGCGAACCTGTCGGGCTTCGGAATCGGTGTACAGCTTGTCGAGCAGAGATTGCACAGTGAAGTTCAGACTCTGCTTGAGGTCCATGTCTGGCAGTCGGCGGTCCATAGCCACGTAGCTCAGCATTTGGTCCACCAATTGGAACATCCGCAATCGATCCTCGCTCTCCGTGTCGCGCATCAACAGCAAGTGTTGCATAGCTGACGTGAAGTAGTCTTGCGCGCGAGTGCCA